AAATGATTAGTGCTGTTGATAGTAGATTTTGATAAACGCTTTCATCTGACACCTTCTTGCCTATTTCTACATACAAAGAAATTCCTGTAAGAAGATTGTCGAAGGAAGGTACATATGTCAAATCAACGCGATCTAGTAGGAAATGAGCAAAAGTTTTATCAAGAACATGTCTCAACTAGAGTTTTACTGAGGGATTCATCCTCTTAGTGCACCCATCTGTCTAATTTGCATGCGCCAGTGGTCACATCTGATATGGATATGAATGTTCAAACCGCTCACTGCCAAAAACTTATTGATGTAAATTCAAATAATTGATTAAGGACGATCAGTAATGGAACAACAACAACAACAACAACGAAGTCTATCCTCTGAATCATTACCATCCAACCAAACGTATGCATCAAGAGTGAATGCAGCCTCAAAACCGTCTGAAAGATCTTCCGCTCCAGTACCGCCATCGAACAAAGTGGTTGTTCTAATGAAATCGAACACGAGCGATGGTAAAACGACGTTTGTGAAGTTGGAACCAGTGCAGCAGTCAGCAACACCTCGCGTTCGTTCTGAGTTTGTGCGTGCCTTGAATACGGCACGTAAGAACACGAGCACTAGCAGCTCATCCTCCCAGCAGCAACAACAACCCAGAAGAAAACGACGTATGATACCGCCAATTGTGAAAAAAGATCAGGTACAGCCGTGCATCTTTGGCAGATTGAAATTGTTTCCAGATCAGACTGGATCATTTTCGGTTGAATTCACTCACAGTTAGAGAATATTTAGTGGATATTATTCTATGAGGTGCAGTTGAGCGATCGGATGTATGGTCTTCGCGTTCACATTTTTGTTCAAATCGAATTTAAGTTTTCAATGCTTTTTCAAGTGTTGTTCCACAATGTATACTATACAAAAGAGCACGTATTTGTTGATATGTTGTGATATATTGAAGGTTGTGAATTTGCAATTGTAACGGGGAGGTGATGTGGTAGCGGGTAGTGCATTCTTAGGTGGTTTGAATAAAGCTCTTAATTGAAATACGTTTAAGGATGACCCGAAGTCATCATCTAAACGTGGTCGTCCTCGCAAGAGCGCCGTCGACACCTTGCATTCAGGTTTAAAGAAACCAAAAGTAGAATCTCCGCCTGAGGAAGGTAAGTTGTTAGTGATTATTATTTCAAATTTTCTTTGTTAGTTTCAGAATAATTATCATTCATTCATACATTAACCTAGTATTGCATGAATAGTCCTGATAATAGTAGTATTGTCATCACTATTACAATAATCAAGATAAGAAACTGTTTGAGGTGAGAGTGAAGAACAAACGGCGAAAACAACATCAGGTCGTCCTAAACGAGCGCATAAAGCACCGAAGCGTTTCGGTGACTTTTACGAAGAACACGTAGCGCCCCGTGATCCAGCCTCAATTCCAATGACTGGACTCGAACCTGAGGCTGCTGAAGAGGACGAAGATGAACATGAACAAACTGAGCAACCCGAAGAGAATACGTCATCGACTTCGAAACAGATAGCTCCATCGTCACCGACGAATCTTAAAGATAAGGTTGCTTGTATTCCTATATTTGCACTTCATTCCTTTTAATTCCTTACTCTTCGTGGGTTCATTTATTCATTCTTGATGTATATTCTGAAGTATCACCTCCCAGCACTTTTTGCCTTATCGATTCAGCATGTTCGGTGCAGTCTGCACTCATTATTGTTGATGCATTAGAGTGACAACGAGATTGCAGAAGAGTGTAACGGCACGCGTGGTGGGTGGTGATAACTGTGAAGATGAAGATTTTATTGAAGAGGAGGATGAGGAGGAAGACGAGACTACTTCAACCGAAAAAGCTCAAACAGATCAACCACCACAAAATAATACTGCTGATGAGGACGAGGGAGAAGAGGTTATTCATTCAACTCATTGTGCAATCATCACTTTCGTTCTCCTCTTGATGACCGTTTTAAATCTAATTTTGTCGAAACGATAAGCATTCTGTCGGTCATGAACGGTGAATGAATGAAAGGAAGATCATTTAAGGCATCAGCAGCTGTCGTTAAATTGCAAGGTAAAGAATATGAGGAATATGTGGCACGCGAATTGGCAAAAGGAAAGTTGTTATGTGAACAGTGTCATCGATTCTTCGCCAATCAAAACAGTATGAATGCACATCGTTTCAAAGTTCATCATATTGTTATTCGAGTGAGTGATTATTTTCATTGTCCTTATTATTTTCTTTCTAGTTTCATTGTACATTTGTTATATATTTTCATTTATCTCGTCTTTATTTTTCTAATTTTTTTTTGTTTCTCTTTACAAATAACCGTAAATTCTTTAATTACAAATGTTTCTTCACAACTTTTATTTTACAATTTCAATTGATGGCAGAAACTAAAATAAATTGTTCAAATGAGATCTTTTCTCACTCAGAAAGAATTGATGCATGATTGCATCAATTCCTTTCATAAATTGGCTCTTCAGTTGAAATAATGACTTGCGTTTAGGCATCAGTGAAGTGTCCAGGATGTGATCACAGGGCCACAACAATTCACACGTTGAATGAACATTGTGCTTCTTTCCATGGTTTGAAACTGCAGTTCGTACGACGTAAATTCAAAAGTACCAACGAATTCCAGGTTGATAATATTTATTTTTATATTCGTTGTTCTTGATTCTAGATTATTTCACTGAAGTGAATAAATTTCTTGCAATCATTGAAAATAATTTCTGAGTTCTTGATGCTTATGCGTGTTGCTCTTACAGACCTATCTGGACAATTTAGCAAGCACTCAAAATATGGCATTCGTAAGGCATCGAAAATCGTTGAATAAACGGCAGTTATATTGCAATCGATCCGGTGCTAAAAGGTTTCGTATCCGTCGTTTTTCTATAGTGATCATTATCAGCAAGGACTCGGAGATCCTTCACCATTTCTTGAAATATCTCGCAAACAAATCATGTCTTGGTGTCGATATTGTTTTTGTTTGGTGCGTTCAGAACAGTGATGACATCCTGACGAAATTTAAGTTCGGACGAAATCCAACTTAATCGTCTTTTCAGCACTCCAAAATTCGGTATTCTGACCGAGTTTCAAAATTCTTCGGTCGGAATCCAAATCCCGGATATCTTAATTCACCGACCGAACTTCGGTCGGTTACCGTCACTAGTTTAGAATACAAATTCGTATTTTCAATGTTTTCTCCGTACGAATTCAGTGTTGATTTACGTGTCAATTCTATTCCATTACTACAGAGTGACAAATGAAGATACAATCCGAAATCGGCCTCGAAAAGGTTCAGCCAAGATCGGTGCCATGTGCCCAGCACATATGTTCTACACAGAATGTGAAGATGGGTTCGGATTCAGTTCATATTTTTACTTTTCTCGTTTTAGCGTCAATATTTTCGTTATTATTTTATCATTATTATTATCAAGCTTATTCGATTTCCTTTGTTGTAAAAAGGTGATTCAGCATCATTTCTTACTATTTCGGTTGTGGATGTTGTTCGTGACCAAAATTCTACAATAAATTCTTATTTTTTGCACAAACTTTTCGCAATGCAGTTAATCTGGATTATCTTGATTCCGAGTTTTCATGTGTTCTTTGAGAGAAATCTTCAGTGATAATGTTCAGATCGGTTGAAGTGAATGGACAAATCACACACTTTGGTCATACATTAGATCCTCGTTTCGTATTCCCGGTAACGAGTAGTGAGAAGGTGACTGGTCGAATGAAACCATCCACTGCTAAGACGTACTTATTTCGCATCTTACATTGTATTTGACTCTTTGTTGTTTAGTATCACTTAACTGGAAAAGATAAAACGCTGTACTAGATAATTGCATTGGAGTAGTTTTTTTCAGAGGAACGTTTCTGAAGAAATGTTAGGTGAAGATGGTAAAGGTGATAGTTTAAGAATGAAATACCGTGTGAAAATGCATCTCACAGAAAGCTTTCATTTCAGCGCTGCACTGAACTCAATGTACGGACGTATTCCAGTGGATCTAGAAGGTTCGTTATTTGATCGCATTCGAGTCGGTAAACTGCATTCATTTTCCCGGGTGTCTTCTCAGTAAAGACTTGATAATGCAAGCAGCAAACGTATCGCGAATAACTAGCATAAATAGATGATATGATATTATATGTAGATTTGATGTGAGTGTGTAGTGAGGTTACACTGTGCTTTGAGGATCCGATGAATATAGAAGCTGTACGTTCCATTCCGCGTCGGTCCAAATTTTTCGTTGAATTTTGGTGGCGTTGTTAGAAAATTTTGAAAAGTAAAGAGGAAATCGAAGAGAGCTAACTGAAAAAGAGAAAACCGACTGGCAGAGTATGACTACGATTCGAAAAGGGAAATACTGATTGATGTTGCATCTGAACACTTGAATTTCAGTTAAACCAAAGAAAACACGCGACGATGACGGATTCATAAACGTTGAAGACGATAAACGTGAGGTTGGTACTCAATTAATGCACTTATTCTGTTTCAGTTGACCATCGATAACAACTACGTAAAATTTGTTTATATCCTTTCAGTTTTTACAATTGATTCCTTGAATTGTTCAGAAACATTTTTTTCGTAGTGTAATCTCGTTCACTGATTGCACACGATGTTCGAGAAGCTATCAAGTACTTACATTTTGTTTTTAAGGAAGAGTAACATAGACAATCTTTTAATTTTTATTCGTAATTTTATTTCTGTTTTTCGGTCGATCAGTTGTTCAGTCCTAATAAATATAACGCAGAAAGAATAATGTATTTTCACAGGAGGATGAAGAAGATGAAATGCGGCGTATGGAAGAGGAGGAAAGACTCGAGATTGAATTTGGTCCGTTACATCCGAAAGCCGAAGAAATCGATATTCGTATGAAGAATATCGATCGCCTTTGCTCATTTTTATTCGAAAATGTCTCTGAACAATTGTACAGACTTGACGATAACACAATGGAAGTGTTGCTGAGAGCGGTTTGTTTGTTTCTCTTTTATTAATTATGTCATCATCCTTCTGATTATTATTCGTTTTAGTTGTTCGAAAATTTCGGTTTTAAAAAGTGAGGAAAAATATCCAGATTCGTTTTTTTGCAATGGTTTTATATCAGTATTGTCGTTAAGGATTGATATTTTTTGTAGCTGCGTACAACACAAAATACAGTCTCGAATCTGAACAGTATGATGATTCAAATAAAAGAAGGTGATCCAGATGTAATACAGAAATACCAACGTCGTGGTACGAGGGGCGGTTGGAATAGCCTTTCGGCTAATAAGGTGCGTGTTCATATCATCGAATGTTCAATATTCGTTCTCATTTCTAGATTATTTCATCAAATAAGGATTCCGTTCGCAAATTTAATGTTTTCATTTTTATTTCGCTATCAGATTAAGAATAATCAATCGGTTAAATGATCTTCTGAGTTTTCTTATTTTTTAATTTGGGTCAAATTTTTTGAAGATTTGATTTAAAGTGAATGTTTTTTATGTTTAGATAAATAGGTGACTGAACGTTTTTGATGAATTTCTGCTCATTCGTGGGATAAGTCGAAAATTTCGCGTCATTTTAAAAAATTCGCGATCTCTATAATGCAGCATACAAAAATGTTATTATGTGTTGTTCAATTTTCGGATAGAATTTTCTCTTTTTTAACTCAACTTCTAATCATTATAAGGAATTCTTTGATATATTCGAACCGAATAACCAGTTCAGTGGTCAAAATCAAATACAATCGGTAATAAAATCTCTGTTCAGTTAGCAAATCGCCGTCGTCAACGACAGCTGTACGATACGGAGGATTATGATGAGGATACCGTCTACTATCGACACGTTCCATTGCGCACAAATACAGATTTACAAAATATTTATTTGTTGGACGATGAAGATGAAGAGTATTATGAAGATTATTGATCATTTCATTGATGAATTGGGCTTTGGGGTTTATGGCATTTCATGCGTTCTTGAAGTATTGAGAGTATTGCATAACGGTCGTTCAGTCTGCATTCTAAATAATCACGTCAATCGCTAATTTTTTTTCAATATATCCTGTACTACTCGAGCATCCAGTTCATCTTATTAGCTCTAATATTTGGAAAATTGTTGATGATAAAAGTGTTACTTCAGGTAGTTTATATTTCTTCGTTGTTCTGTTGTAAGCTGTGTAATGAGACATTCTCTAAAATCATTAAATTTAATGGAGTTTACGAATGGATATTGATGCAGGGCCTGACGTTTAGGAGAGAAGTAATTCTTGTTTTGGGGGAGAGCAGTTGAAAGAGTGTGAGTATATTGATTGGGGAAGTTTACTCGATGTCACGAAACTGTTTCTTTTAGTTGGTGGGATCGATACTGTCTCGATTTTATCTGATTTCTTATTTCATCGTATTACTAGTTGAATCTACCCAAACATTTAAGTTTCGTTTTTTTTTTAGTTGATTAAATACAATTTTAATGTTTGAAGTGGGACATCTCATTGATCTGTTTATAATTTGTTTATTTGAATGCTGTTTTGAGGACATATTTTGATTTCATTGTAGTATATTTGATGCTCTTTTTATTGATAGTGAGTATCAGAATGTTCGATGTAAAACAAGTTTTTGTTTTTGCTATCATTATGTTTCTATTAAAATTATTATTGTTGCTATTGTTGTTTGTTATTATTATTGCTATTGTTACCATTGATATCGTGTTGTCGTTAATTTTTATTGCTATGGTTTAATTCGTTCAGAAAATATTCATAAAGTAATAACTATTACTGGATGAATTATAGTTAACCGTTGTTATTATACCATATTACATCTTTCCTTCGTTTTCAATGTCATTTAATCAACGTTTCAATTCTTTTTGATAATTTAATGGAGTGTTCATGTGTTCAGTCTTTATGTTTATATCTTATGTCACATTAATCAGTTCCGTTATGTTTGTTTTTATTCATTTGAAGAATAAACTCTTTCACTGAAGTAACTGCTATTCGAGCTTAAATTGAGTTCCACTAGCGGTAAGCAAGTATTTTGAAGAACTATATTCATATTTGTCTAGGTATTTACTCATGCTACTCCATACTCTGTGCATTGTTACACGTTCAACATTTATACCGAAACAAAATAATTGCCATTTAAAGAAATGCCGAATTCATGAGTAGTTGATTTGAACGAATGATAAAACGTGGAACGTCGTTGGAGATTTCATGACTTTGTGATTAATCAGCAAAATAAAGCGATCATTTTCGAATGGAAATTCTAATATGAGTGGAAACATATCATACAACTTTTCGGAACGTACACAGGAAATATTATTCTCATCATATTCGAATGCAACAAACTGATGTTGATAATAGTAAGAGCGGTAGTGATTCTAATAGTTATAACAATGCACTGATCTCAACACTTAATTGGCTTTTTCCCTATTTGAGTGCGGTGAATCGGGTACCAAAGCATCAGCCACTATACCACGCGCTACAGCTGAATCGGCTCGTTCGACGATAATTGAAATAGATCCGGAGGGTGATGTAAGTGCCTGAAGTACCACTTCTGTGATTTTCAGCTGATTGTCTTGTCAGCTGAAATATCATCCAAGATCATTTCGGCTGACAGAATGAGTCGCTAAGATCTTGCCTTTTTGACAAAGAATCAGTTTTGAGATATATGGGTTCGCCTCCAGTGCTAAGTGCTCTGCGTTGAGCCTTTCAAGATTAAAAACTAGAGAGGCGAACCGCATGTTCCACAAACCGAGTCTTCTTGTATCGACTGAAAACTTGCTGTGAATGATTGATATATAGCATCATTGGCAGAAGTATCCTTATCGACGACGAACATTCTATTAAAGGAGTGGTTCTCAACTTTTTTTTCGCTGTGTGCATCATCTAGAAATTTTAAAGACGACCTCGCATCCCCTCCTGCACCATCCACTCACCCCTTTTCATCGCACCCACTCTCGTACCCCTCTCACCTCACCCTCTCTCAACCCCCTGGCATGCCGTCATACATCCTTGGCTGAGAAACCCTGTATTAAAGCATCATTGCTCTCATTTTCTTTTAACTCCATCATTCCGAAATATTCAAACTGAAATAGTGTTCTGTCCAGTCGCAGATCGTTTTGCAATATTTAGTTTCGAAGTTCGGTCGCACATCAATCACCTAACAATTAATTTACCTATCGCATAAGCAATATGAAAAACTCTGAAACTCTTTCAAGCTGCAAACCCTCTAAAATTAAAATGAAATCATATGAATGTGAACAGCCATAACAAATGGATTAATGAAGTCCTTTTGTACAACTAGTTGGTCAATGATTACCTTAAGAAAAGCTTTCTTGGCAGCCTCCTTTTCTGATATAACATTGCCATCAAGTTCAAGAATTCGATCACCAACTTGTAGTTTCTCGGCAGCCAACGAACCATTCAATATTTTCGACACGTAAACACTGCCTGGCTCACCGTTCTTCACTGTCTGCATATAAGTAGTAACCACACGATTTGTTTATTCGAAACAAATGACCAGTTATAGCTAATTATTAACATATCATGAATTCGCCTCTTCAAAAAATTCGCGTTTTCAAACAGAATATCTGCAAGTGATGTAGAAGTAGAACGTATGAAGGAAATCGCGTGTATATAAATGAACAACTCACTAAACCCAAACGAACGGCAGTTTTGCGTTGTTCCATCGTAAGAAGAAGATAAATGAAGCCATCACGTCTTGCGATATTCTTGTCATTTGGTACTTGTTGCTCTTGTATTATTTGCTCTTCACGGGCTGCATCTCTTATCACTGTGATTCTGAAACTGTTCATGTCATTTTTATCATTCCCGGTTTCTCGACAATCAAAAACTTATATCCTATTGAAAGCGTGGCACATATGACGAGTAGCCTGTAATAAAAGAAGAAATTATTAACAATAGCAGCCAATTACCTATGTATGTGATGCTTCAGTAAGATGCGTTCTAAAGTATTACGATCCTCCACCGGATGTTCATTAACATTCAAAATTTTGTCGCCAATTTTTATTTTACCATCCAGTGCCCCACTTCTTTGTACGAACGTTACAATTAACTAAAATTATCCACATTTATTTCTTATCAAATGTACGCATCTCAGCAAGCTTTCTTAATGAACAACGATATTGGCAATCTTCACTCTGCTGCCTTTATAGTAATTGCATAATTAATTGAATAGCACTCACATCATTGTTAAAATGAATCCCAGGTAATTCTCCGATGTCAATATTTACTCTCACCGTCGTTTCAGCGACCATTCGATACGACCTTTTATTTTAAAATAAACCCCGAAACGAAATATTTTAAGTAAGATGAAAATGTTTCTATGTAAATTTTTCCTTTCAAGTGGTTTTTTCATGAGAAAAACATACAAATTTTTAGTCATCATTCATTTTCCGGTTCCAAATTATATGTAATAATCTCTGTTTTTCGATGCTTATTGTTAGTAATGAGTATTCATTGAATTGCTTAACTGTTCCTTTTGATTAAATGCAATACCTATAATAACAGTGGTACTAATAACTTCATTGCGAATATTAAACCTTTATACTATCGTTATGTATCCATTGAATCTTTCTTAGTTTAGGTCTCGTATAGAGTCTTGCAATGGAATTCTTCAAATATGATTACCTCCATTTTTTCTGAATGTCTATTTTCATTTTCCGTGGACTGATTCTGGAACTAATCGATACACGTTTCCAGTTTGCTCCAGTAAATGATAATGATAAACATTGTTAGATGATAGCCAAGAATTCTTGCGCTTATTGTTAGCGACTGCTGCAATACTCGTTGAGAATTTTCGAGCTGTCACAGATGCACTGGTGAATGAACAGTCGCCCGGTGTCACAACTAACTACGAGCTCTCAACTAATCTATCTTCTCAATTTTCTTTTTTCTGATAACTGCATCGAAATTCGGAAAATATTTCATGCTGACACAGAGGTCGAAGTGGACGGTTCGGCTGTTTACATGAATGAAAAATGAATTGAAGCAGCAGCGAAATAAATTTCAGAGAGGAAATAAAGGGAATGATGAAACGTGGATATATATTTCAAAAACCGACGCATGATGATGAAGATGACTATCATAGAGCAAGTCGAATTGTTCACGCAAAACCGATCGATGAACGTCTCAAACAAAAATTGGGACAATATGGCAGTGGAAAAGATTTTGTTATGGGCAACGAAAAATCTCAGCAAGAACTCGTAATTGGTGGTGAGAATTTGTTTATTTCTAACTTTGCGTTGTTCTATGCGTCTTCTCAAATTGATGTTGGCCATTGGTCTCTTCGGAGGATTTTTTGATGAGCATTTTACCAGATGAGATACATTCGACTCCATCAGTTATATGCTTTTCGATCCATTTATCACCGTTATACCAGACGAAAGTAATCGGTTTCATGTGAATGATTCCATTATCGAATAGCTTATGATCCAATAATATGATTGACTACGTGTTGAAGTCAATTAGTGTTTAATTGACTTCATTATGTTATTTTCTTCTAAACAACATGGTTCCTTCTAAGAAATTTTTGCTCAATAATGATACACATGTATGGAATCAGTGTCAATTATTATTCATCTATTTAAACAGAAATATGATTTGAAATTACATGCACACTGATTGCAGCAATGGAAAAAGTTGATGAAACTAATAACAGAGCGTCATCCTCGAAAGTGCTTTCAAAAGATGAACATAATAAAATCAGTGCTAAAATTCTCAAGGCTGAAATGAAGGGCAATAAGGTATGATATGATGTGATATGAGGCATCAGTTTGAATTTGTGGTTTCTTGGTTTTAAGTATGAAGTAAACGAATGAATGGTTCGATCAGTTTCCTGGTGAGCAAAGATATTGATTTCAGGAATTGGCTGATAAATTAAGAAGGAAATTAGCAGGATTGAATGAAGATGAAAGTAACCAATCATCATCTCATAACGACAGTGATAATGAAAAGGTGCAGTTGCTATTGAAAACTGATAAAAGAAGTGGACTTACAATGCCGTTGTCATCAGCAGGACCATCCGGACTACCGAAACACCAACAAAAACCATCAAAAACATCTGTTACTCATTTTACAAGCTTGCGTTATTATTATCTTAATCGATATTGTTATTGCTTCAAAAATGATTCATTATTGCAAATTTATCCGTTCAATCAGCATTTGTGATTCATTCATTTACAGTTCATCTGAAAACGACATTCACAATTCATTACTAGTTTACGTTTTCCCATCAATAGCAGTAACAACTATCTGAAATTATTTTGGGTTCTGTCACTTGAAAATATCCCATTCATAGATGGTCCATGTTCAATTGCGCATTATTATCCAACCATAATTGTATTTTGGGTGCATGAAAACTCAACTGATTTCAAGATTTATAGTGTAAGTACTTGAATAAACTGTAATTTCGAGTAATTTAAAGGATGGAAAGTATAACCTGGGAAGTGTTGATGCGGAATATCGATCGCAAATGAGTATTCATGAAATGGCAAACGAAGAACGAATCACTTCTGCACGAGAACAACTTTCAATGTTCAATCGTGCCACTAAGGTGTTTTATACCTTGGAGATTTATCTGAATATGAAACGAAAACCATTTTAAACTACCCACAAGTGCAGTACATATCGGATTGATCAGTATTGCCAGCAGCAAATTTTAATAAGTCGGCAATGAACTTGTTAACTTGCATTTTCATAAATTTTATGAATAATTCTTAAGAAATTAGAAATCACATTGGAACTTTGCTCTGAGTTTAATGAAATTCTGAAAAGTGAAACTCCAATTATGCACTGATGGTTTTCGTAACTTCAGTTTTTGTATTCATCTTAGTCGAGAAGTTGTTTCATAATTTCGATTGCTGATATTTTTATTACGTCCAAAAGTCTTTAATACTTCAGTTACTGCAAAACATATCGGCTGATCTTAATTGTCTAATGAACGCAATGTTATTTGCCCCAATTTGAGTGCCATTTTCCACGAAACTATCTTTTTTATTTGCCAAGAATTTGCATAAAATTATTCATGATGGCAAAAGCACATCAGTGAAATGCTCTAACCACAATCGCAGTGTAACATAATAACCAATAGTGTAACAATGAATCATGTTGAAGTATTTCACGCTGAAATGAGTTTGAAATATTTATAATGATTGGATAAAGTTGATGTTCGAGCATAACTGGTGATTGGATAATTCAGGCAACGGTAGAACGAAAAACGGATGATGACTGGGTTGTTGACGATGCGATTATGAGTCATAAACGGAAAATGAAGTATGATGAGCGTGATGAAAGAAAAAAAAGAAATAAGGCTATTCAAGGTTGGTTCGATGTTTTCAGTTTATTCATTAAGTCATAATTCGAACTGTTGATGCATAATGCGTTCATTTGAATGGAAAACTTGAATTAGGGGTGCATATTCTCTTGATAATCATATGCGAGGAAAAATATTCATATTTCAACGGTATACGTAAAAGTGTGCTTAGATATAATACTAACCGAAAAATATGTAATGTGCTTCGATATACCAGTCAAGCAAGCATTATGACTTTATATATATATA